AGGGTTTGCAGTTCAGGGTTTCCCTTAGCTTCCGAGCTGTGGCTACGCGAGTGCTGCTGCGACATCACTTCGTCTGGACAGGCGGCGGCATCTAGATAGTGGATTATGCTTGATTAGACTTCAAGCTTTACGGAGGTTCCCATGTCGGTTGAAGGAGAGTTCGGGTCTCTGCGTAATATAAGGGTCGGAAGAATTGGACATAGTATCCTTCATAGTCCCTACGTACGATTACTGCAGCATACCTTAAACCCTATTCCAATAATCCCTACGCAAGTCAGCTAGAGTATACACCAAACCCAATTCTCATTAGTATTAGTAGGGCCTCCTATTTGGGTAGTTCTGTAAATCAATGTCCTCTGTAGGTGCCCCAAATAGTTTTGCACCTTTATAAAAAGGACCCTAAAAAGGGACCCTAATTTAGAGGGCTACCCATATAGCTTAAACCCCAAACCCTAAACCCTAAACCCCAAACCCTGCACCTTCAACCCTAAACCCTAACCCCTAAAACCCTAAACCCGAAACCTTCGGCCCTAAACCCTACAACCCCGAACCCAAAACCCTAAACCCAAAAACCCGAAACCTTCGACCCCTAAACCTTTTGTTGCCAGGAGGACACCTGCCTCTCTCCGTCCCTGCTCTCGGGAAGCACTTGCCTGGAGACCCCCCGCAAGGCGAAGCAGAGACCTTCAACCCTCAAACCTCAAACCCTAAACCCTTAACGGTTTAGGTTTCAGGGTTTAGGGTTTAGGGTACCCTAAAACCCTAAAGCCCTAAACCCTTAACGGTTAAGGTTTCAGGGTTTAGGGTTTAGGGTACCCTAAAACCCTAAAACCTAAACCCTTAACGGTTTAGGTTTTGGGGTTTAGGGTTTAGGGTACCCTAAAACCCTAAAACCCTACACCCTTAACGGTTTAGGCTTTAGGGTTCAGGGTTTAGGGTTCAGCAGCTCCGGATCGAGCAGTTCTATAGTAGAGTTAACTCACGGTTTAGACATGAGTCCCATATCATTGTAAAATAAAAAAGTTCGTTCTTTTGCACCAAGGAGTTCTATTTACAGTTGGACTATCTTCATTCTAGACTCAAGCCACCCGAATTTTCGGCCACTGGCCGACGGCCATTGGCCACGACTATTTGTGACTTTTCAACGAAAGTGGGATCGCTCACAGAAATCGGCGCTGTTTTGCAGCAGAATGTGGCCGCGACCTAACAAATTGCCATTGGCCACGAACTCTCGGCCATTGCCCACGAAGTGCAAAAAGCGGCTCTGTTTTGCTGCAGGCCCCATCCCGACCCAAAAAATGTCATGGGCCACGAATTATCAGCCATGGGCCGCGAATTATCGGCCATGGGCCGAATTATCGGCCATGGGCCACGGATTATCGGCCATGGGCCACGAATTATCGGCCATGGGCCACGAATTATCGGCCCTGAGCCGTGAACAGAATCTGCCGATAATTCGTGGCCCATGGCCGATAATTCGTGGCCAGTGGCCGATAATTTGTGGCTCATGGTCTAAAAAATTGGCGGTTTGCCATGAACCACGAATTATCGGCCATGGGCCACGAATTATCGGCCATGGGCCACAAATAATCGGCCATGGGCCACGAAGGTCATTAAAGTTTAAATTAATGTATGAAAGAAAGGTTTAGGGCAAACCTAAAACCCTAAATCCTAAACCCTAAAACCCTCAACCTTCGACCTTAAACCCTAAGCCCCAAGCCCAACCAACAACCCAAGCCCTAAGCCTTAGACCTAAGATCAGCCGAGATGGCTCTTGAAGAGCTATCGTGAAATGAAGGGAAGGCACTGGGGATGCAGAACTCTCTGTCTATAAGCATGAACTGGGCCGGGGGAAACTCTTGACATCAGAGATCGCCTGCCTCAGTGGTTTAGATACGAAAGGCCGTAATAAATCCGGATCCGTGAATCGTTGCACCCCAGACCCCTATTCCCTAAAGCTCCCAAACCCTAATCCTACGCCCCGAACCCCGCTATACGCTCAACCAGAAAAACCCTAAACCCTAAAACCTAAACCCTGAACCCTAAAACCTAAACCCTGAACCCTAAAACCTAAACCCTGAACCCTAAAACTTAACCCTAAGCTTCAGCCCTCAACCCTCAACCAAAACCCCGAACCCAGCTGATACCGAGTTGCGAGGCGCCGCGGAAGTTCCCTCAGGCTCCCTACAAGGCGGGGTCGGTTTAGGGTTTGGTTTAGGGTTTAGGGTTTAGGGTGTAGGGTTTAGGGGCCTCGCCTTTTGTGATTTCATGGGGTTTTGGTATAACACAGACTTTAGGATTTGGGGTTTGGAGTCGAGGGGGCTTGGATGAATAATTAAGGATATCTTTCCTTGGCGTTCCCGAAAACTGTTACAGTATACCATTCCGCTGAGCTCTGATTTACTCATTCAGGTCTCTACATGACAGGCAAAACAAGCTCCACAAGCTCAGCAGCCTCAATCATCAGGTCTGAAAAGCTAGTCAACATTTTCCTTGTAGCCCCTATCGACCCGGACCTTCCAACAACAACCCTTAATTAAGGGATATGCCCTGGATTATGGCAGGTTCCCTCCTATGATTCAAGGTACGTTCCTTTAACTAAGGGATCTTCGGACGTTCTGCGGATTTACAGCAACCATCCAGGCCCGTGCTTAAAGGATCATGGGACCTACTAGCAAGGGTCATAACTAAGGCAAGGGTTTTATGTGAGGGTTTAGGGCTTAGGGCTTACGGTTTTGGGCTCAGGGTTTAGGGTATACTTACTTCTTACCCCAGTCAAGGTGCTTATAACCTTACTTACTAAGTTCACTGATCCATTCCGCCCAAACCCCTAAAACCTAAAGCCCCTGAAGTCTTAGGCCTCGTCATTGGCCCTAGAGCCTAAAGCCCTGACGCCCTAAAGCTCTAAGACTTGAGCCGAAGGCTCCTTCAGAAAGTAGCTTTTTTGCCGTCGTCTTTTCCCGAAGCCAGACTACATCCTAAACCGCCGTAAACCGTAAACCTCAACAAAAACTCCTAGACCGTAAGCCTTAAACCCTAAGGTGCGAAGCCCTAGAGTAGAATCGAGATTCGGGGTCTTTGATGCTCCGGTTGGTGGGTTTACAAGGAGATGTGGTATCAGCCCTTATAGAAACCCTTAAATAGCACTTCCACATTCAGATCTAGACCTAGAGCTCTCAAGAGCCCCCAAACCCTGAACCCTACACCGGAAAACCCTAAACCCTAAACCGGGAAACCCTAAAACCCTGAACCCAAAACTCTCACCCTAAACCCTAAACTCAAAACTCTCACCCTAAACCCTAAACCCAACGCTCTCAAAAGCAGAAAAAATCCAGGTACTGGCAGCACCTGGCCTCGAGGATCTTTCGTCCGTAGACTTTGTTTGGGAACTTGGGCGACTCGTGTCACGGTTAAGCCCTAGGGGTTTAGGGTTTGGGGTTTAGGCTTTAGGGTTTAGGGTTGGTTTTAAGCCCTAAACCCTCTAAACCCTAAAAGCCTTAAACCCAGAGAGCCCCATTTACCCCTTTCTTAAGGAATGTACCTTGGATAGTAGGGGCCTTAACGTTATGATTTAAGGTATATTCGTGAATTAAGGGGTCTTGGGCTCTCTGGGGACTCTAAACCCTCAACGTTAAACCCTAAACCCCAAGTCTGAAACCCTAAACCCTTAACCTATTAACCCTAAGCCCCAAGTCTTAAGACCTAAACCCTGAAATTAAACCAAAACCCTAAACCTATCAACCCCAAACCCCAAATCTTGAGACCTAAACCCTAAGCAGTCCTTCTAGGACTTCAAGGTTTCTGGGAGTTTGGGGGGTTGCGGGATTTGTCCATGGCTTGCGATCTCGGGCGTAGGGTTTCGGGTTTCGGGTTTAGGGTTTAGGGTTGTAGGCCTCTTTAGGCTTTAGGGTTGTATCTTCAGAAGCGAGCCAAAACGTCGATGTTTCCTCTCAAGCTCTCACAGGATTGCTAGGGCGCCCATGGGTTTTGAGCAAGCCTGGAGCCTCCTATCCTTGGCTCACCAAGGCGCAACAAGCAATTTGTGGGGCCTGGCGTGCCCCTTTTACTGCGCCTCGCCAGGGCTAGGGGCACTCTCGGCCTCATTTTTGGCAGGTCTTATACTGGGGGCTCTTGGAGGAGCCTACCTGCTGGTCTACTTTTCAGGTGCTCCGGGAAGCAGCGACAGCCCGGGACCGTCTGGGGAACGCCCGCGCGTGCGTGTGAGACCTAGGCTGCAGGCCTACTTGCATGAGTGAAGAGGTTCCTCCCACTTGGGACCTTTCACTCGAGTTAGAGGGTCTGTCCCTTAGGCTTAGAGGGCTTAGGGTTTCGGGGGCTCAGGTTCGTGCTGATTCGCCTGCCTCGTCGCTTTCTGGCTTCACTGTCGTAGCGGCTGATCCGCCCCTAGGCCCTAACTCCCTAACCCGTGTGCAGCCAGCCGAATCCTCGGGCTCGGCATCTTACCCCCCTAAGGCCCAGCAACCAGTGTGCACCAGGGCAGGTGGCTCGCCTCCATCGGTGCCCCCTTCCTCTGCCAGGCCGCGTGTACCTTCTTCCTCGACCCAGGTCGTGCCAGAGTACCCCTCGCCCCACCGAGTGGCTTCGCTCGGTTTCCAGGCCAGGCAGGTCCTTGCGTTGTCGTTCCCTGAAACTCCTGACTTCTGCTACGGGCTGTGTCGTGGACTTTCCTCCGCCAATCTGGACTCTCGCCAGAGAGCTGAACGTGCCTGGAGGGCCGGCTGCTGGGCAGGGGCTGTCCTTGAAAACCGAGCCGACCGGCCGGACCCGTCCGAGCCTTTGGATCTGTCTTCCAGGTTCTATTGTGTGCTGCGGGCTGACGGGCTGGACTCGCCTGTGGTCTGCTCCTCCATCTCCACCTACCGCAGGGTCATTGGCCCCCAGCTTGGCTCTTCTGTGTCCCACGGTTTTCCTTCCTCTTCCGAGGCCCGGGTCTACTTCGCCGGGGCTGCTTTGCCTTACCCTGCCGCCCTGACCAGGTGATGGACTTTGGCACGCTTACCTCTTTTGAGACCGGCTCCGTCGAGCTGCTGGAGTTCTCTTGGCCGCCGGCGGCCGAGGACCAAGCCCCCCAAGTATGCCTCGCCTATGTTATCATGAAACGGCCTTCTGGATTTTTGCTGTGTGTTCCGGATGGCTTCCTGTCACAGACAGAGTTGGAGCAAGGGCAGCAGGCTGGGGAGGAGGAGGGCATCGGGCCGTGATTGTTATATCGGCCCCACCGGTGCAGCTGAGCAGCACGGGGGAGTGGACTTCGCCCTCCGACCAGGGACCTGTGCCGGCCCTGATCGTGGACCTGGCGGCTCATTTAGCCGACCAGCTGAGCCCTGCCGACATGAGTGCGGACGACCTCGTCTGTTTCCGCCCTGCCTCCCCTTCCGTTTTCCCCCTGGCCTCGGAGGTGCTCAGGCAGGCCAAAGAATGGCTTCAGACCGATGGCACCTTGCCTGCGGACAGATCGGGCTATCACACTGCGGTTCCACCCAACCGGGCCAAGACTGCAAAACCGAAGAGGCCCACTATGGCCCAGCTGGCGACCCAGCAGGCGAAGGTGATGGAGGTGGTGGCAGCAGTGGTCGACCGCCTCGATTCGATCGTGGCCCAAGGGGGCAAGGCACCTTCTCCAGAACCGGTGCCCTCTCCGCAGCCCGCTTTGCCTCACCCTGTCTTGGGTCAGCCTCTCGCTCAAGCTGTGTTGCCGCCCTTCCAGTCGGTTCCCAAGAATCTCGCTGCTACTTTGGGCCCTCCCCCTCATACCCGGCAGATGCCTCCCGCAGCACCCGAGCAAGTGGATCTGGAGGAGAAGGGGCAGCAAGGCCTACAAACAGGCGAGCTTCAAGGGGCCGGCCAGGATGCATCTCTCGCCTCCGCCGTCCTGGCCCAGTCTCAGGCCTTGGTGGCCCTCGTGACGCAGCTGTCGGGATCAGCGGACCCGCTCCTGGAGGTGCCAGCAGGTCAGGCTTAGGTGCGAGGCGCCGCGGGGCGCGCCAAGCTGCAGCAAGAACTGGCCACGCGCAACGGGGTCTTTGCCCAAAGGGTGAGGGAGAACATGGCCCGACGGATGGACCCTACAGGGCTGTTGCCGGAAGATCAGGTGAGTTTTCTCAGGTACCTGGAGCGCCACGGAGGTTACTCTGCTCAGCCTCTTTTAGGCCTGGTGGCCTGGCAGGTGGCACAAGCATTGGATTTGATGGCTATAGGTGCCACGGATGGGGCGAAGGACTGTCTCAGCCTTCTCCTTCTGATGCTGGACCAGACCGCCCACGATCGGGGAAACAGCTCCCTGGGCTGGCTCCTTACCTTGCAGGCGGACCCGCCTTCGAATCTTTTTGCTGCCCAGACGCCGGTGCCGGGGTCCAACCTGCAATCCTTCAGCCCGCTCGCCGAGCAGCGATGGATTACCACGGCCTTGGCTTACGCCAAGGAACTGGAGACGATCGCGTCCAGAATCACCGAGAGCCAGCCAAAGCAAGGACCGCCAAAGCCGCCCGCAAAGCCTCCAGCCCCGCTGCTGGTGTCGACCTCCGTGGAGGAAGCCCCGTTGTCAAAGAAGCAGCTCAGAGCTGCCCAGTGGGCCGCCCGCAAGGCAGGTGCCCCCCAAAACCCAAAGAAGTGACGGCAGACCCAAAGCACATCAGCCCACATGGTTTTCCTTTTGGAAGGGAAAGCACTGTGTCTTCCCCGGCTGCGGTTGCTAAGGGCCAGGGCCTCCCCGCCTCAACTTGTGATAGTGCGGCACCTGCTGCTCCGAGTGTGCCCCCCGTGGGCCCCAATCCTGTTTTCATGCCCCCGGAAAGTTCCCCTGCTCCGGCCTTTGAATTGGGCTTTTCTAAGGCACCTGAAGTCCCTGCTCGCCCCTCTCCGGATGGCTGCGGCCCCGACAATGATCGGGCCGACGTGTTCCCGTTGCAAGGGCAGGTCTTTAGCGAGGACGCTGAGTTCAGTTTCCACAGGTGGTCGGTTGTTTTGCCCCGCCTGTTGAAGGCTGGCAACACCCAGCTCAGCAGGTTCCTTGTTTCGACTCTTTTTCTGCGTAAGGAGGCCCTCCCCTCCTCAGCCGCTCTCTTTCCGTTGCCTCTCCTTCGGGCGGGGGTCTTCCACCAACGGACCTGCAGGAGTGCCCGGGCGACTTTTCGTGATGATGTCGCCCGATGTACGCATCTGGTTGCCATGTGTTTTAAATTTCATGCATGCCGGGTGCAAGCCAGTTCCCCTCCGCAGCCTGCAGAGGTCCCTGTCTCCGATCCAGGCCCAGGTCTATGCTAGGATTCAGGGGCTCGTTAGAGCGTGTGCCCGCCAGGCCGGGGCCGTCCCCACTTGTGCCGGGCGAAAGGGCCTGCAACTTACAGCCAGGCTCTCTGAAGTGGTTGTTTTTCTGCATGACCAAGGTTTCGAGGCGAGTGGCTACCCTGCCTCTGCTGTGCCCCCTGCTGGTTTTGTGCCACATGCCACGGGAGGCCCTGAGGCCTTGAATCCCTATCGCAACATCCTGGCCGACCAGGTTGTGCTCCACGGCCGGGGCTCCTGGAACCTTGCGGCCCACCTGGGGCCAGACCTTTATCTTCCTTATGTGGAGCCCGACTGTTTTCGCTTCCCGGGTACCGGTGGGCCCTGTGCCACCTTCCAGGGCGAGAGCAAGGCAGAGCTCTTCAAGATGGTGCTCCTTTGGGACGCCCGGGGTCTTCTCGGCCTGACCGCCGGGCCCTTGCCGGACAGGCTGCTCACCAGGGTTTTCGGAGCCTACAAGGCGCCAGGCAAGCAGAGACAAATTGGGGACCGCCGTGGGCAGAACAGCTGGGAGTCACGACTAGTTGGTCCGTCCAAGTGGCTGCCGACGGGGCCCCTCCTCTGCCGAATCCACGTGCCATTGGGCTGCTGCCTGGTCGGTTCCGTGACAGACAGGAGAGACTTTTATACGCAGGCTTCTATAAGCCCCCAGCGCGCCAGCACCAACATCGTCGGCCCTGCTCTCCCTCTTGAGTGGTTTGCCGGTACAGCTGCTGAGGCCAGGTTTCGTCAGAGGCCCAAGGACCACTGCACCGACCCAGCCTTGTATGCCGATCAGATTGATTTTCGGCGTCCCTCGCTTCTTGCCTCGGGTCGCCGTCTTGTCCACCCTACCTTCCATGCCCTGTTTCAGGGCGATGCTGGGGGGGTCGAGTTTGCAACAGCGGGCCACCAAGGTTTGCTGGAAAGTTCCGGGTGCCTTTTAGGACCGGGGCGGCTTCAAGCCTCCCACCCCGTCTCCGCGACAGGTCCATGGCAAGGATTGATCATCGATGATTTCTTTGCTCTGGCTGTACAACCGGGCTCCTTTCGATCGGGGTCGCCTTCGCCCTCCTCTGCTCTGGTTGATTTGGCTAAGGCCGGCTATGCTCGAGAGTCCGTCTTGGGGTCAGATGATAAGGACGTCCGAGACCAGCGCCACTTTAAGGTGGCAGGGGCTGAGATCGACGCTTCAGAGCCCACGGTAGCCGCCGGCATGACCCTGTGCGGCTACCCGGTTGTCAAACGCATGGCCCTCGCAGCGGCCTCGGTCCGTGCTGCCCAGTGCCCTGCTCTGAGCGAGGAACTTGTGTCGACCCTTTGTGGCAGTTGGGTTTCCTGTCTGCTTTACCGGCGCTGCCTCATGAGTGCCCTTGATAGGCTGTTTTCTTTGGGCAGGACCGAGGCTGCCTCCAGCTCTCCCGGTTCAGACCTTAAGCCCCTGTCGCGAGCCACTGCCTCTGAGCTGCAGCTTCTGGCCGTCCTGGCACCGGTCGCCGTCTCGAACCTTGCCGCCGAGCCCTCGCCGCAGGTCTTTGCTTCGGACGCTTCCATGGAAAAGGGTGCTGTCTGCTCCACCAAGGTCGCCCCGGAGGTTGCTTTGCAAATGTGGTTGGCCTCCGATTTTAAAGGGGCTGCTGTCAGGCTCGAGGGCCCGGGGCCTCCTCCCACCAAGCATGATGACTGGCTGCCTGAGCCCCCTGCGCCCAGAAGCCCCTTGCCTTCAGGTTCGACTTTCTTGATGTGGGTGAGCCCTCGCCACTCCGCGGTGAAGCAAAGGCCTGGGGTCTTTCAGTAGGGCCTGTTCTGCACCGCTCGAGGTCGTGCCATTACTGCCTCGCTTCGTTCCGCTTCTGCGAGGGTTCACCTGGTCTGCGCAGGGCATGTGCGAGCCGTTGTGTTGAGGCCTCCTGTCGATACTTTTGCTAGGGCGGGCCGCCCACCCCTTCGCTCAGTGAGCAAGCCCCTGGGCTTCAGGAGAGGCTTCGGTCCCGTCGCCAAGGCAAACAGAGTAGCCTCTACCTGCTTTACGGTCCTTCTGGCTGCTGCCCGTCACGGCGTTGCTGCGTGTATCATCCATCCTGCCTCCTCGCTTTTGTGCTTCCACCCCTCTTGGATTTCGCTGAGGGAACGACCAGGTTTTCGCGAGGAAGTCGTTGAGGCGAAGAGGGTGGGCTCCCCCGAGGTTGCAGATGGGAGGGTCTTGTCCTGCGGCCTCCCACCGGTGCGCCCGAACGCCGTGCCTCTGCCCCCCGACAACAGGCGAAGCTGCTGCAAACCACTCTGGGACTCTCACCCCTTTGCCCGCCGCCTTGTGAAGTGTGTCGCGTCTGCCCTCCGAAAGGCTCCCGCCGAAGCTCCTCGCACGCCAGGCTTCGAGAGCATTCTCGTCAATGACCTTCTTCAGGCTGGCAGGTGGCAGGTTGTCTCGGAGTGGCGGTGGCGGCGGAGGATCCATATAAATGTGTTGGAGACGCTCGCTGCTGTTAAGGTTGCTCGCAAGGCCACCGCCCTAGGGGGTGATCGCAAGGTTGTGTTGCTGCTGGACTCGGCCGTTGGCAGGGGTGCAATTGCCAAGGGCAGGTCCTCCTCGCGTTTGCTCAGGCCCGCTCTGCTCAAGATGTCGGCCACGCTGGTTGCTGGTGGCATCTACTTAGGTATGAGCCACGCCCCTACCCGCCTGAACGTCGCGGACGACCCGTCCCGAGACGTGCCTCTCCGCCCTCCGGCCGGCCAGTGCCTCTGCGAGGTTCTCCTCGGGGCCGACCTCGTCCTTGCCTCGGGTTGCGTTGGCCATTCTGCTCAAACCGCGGGGTGGCTCAGGCTCTCCCTCCTCCTCTCCCTTAGGTTTCTAAGGGTAGGCTCCAGGGTCTCCTTAGTTCTCTTGGGTTGCCTTTCCGTGCCGAGTTGCCGGCAAGAGCTGCAGCGAGGGGCCCACTCAGGGTTTTTGACCAGACCCTAGGGTACCCTGGGGAAGGGCCAGTCGTGCCGAGGCACGACAAGGACAAACAGCGCCAGAGGCAGCGAGCTGCTACCCCCTTGCCTGAAGGCCGACCGGTCCTGCAGAGGACCGCCCAGAACAGGAACAGTTTGCTGGCTAGCTTCGAGGCCTGGCTTCAGAAAGCCGGGCACGCCGCTAAAGCCTACTACGAGTGGCCAGCCGAAGAAGTTGCACGAGCCCTCGCCCGCTACGGCCGCGAACTCTTCGACGCTGGTTTGCCCTACTGGCACCTGTCTGAGACGATCAATGCAGTATCCTCAAAAAGGCCAGCTATACGGCGCCAACTGCAGGGGGCCTGGGACGTTGCTTTTGCGTGGATGGCCCTGGAACCTCACACGCATCATGTGGCTATGCCGGCGGTAGTCCTGCTGGCGGTCTTAGCCGTGAGCCTCTTGTGGGGATGGAAGCAGGAGGCGGGCCTTTTCGGCTTAGCCTGGGGTGCCCTCCTTCGGATCGGCGAGGCCACCGGAGCGCTTCGCGAAGCCCTCGTACTTCCGAGGGATGTCCTTTACACCCAGGCCTTTGCCCTGCTCAAGATCGAGGAGCCTAAAACACGCTTTAAGGTCGCGAGACACCAAGCGGCGAAACTGGAAGCAGCCGACCTCGTCGCCCTCGTTGACATGGCCTTCGGCAAGCTCCCCAAGGGCTCCAAGTTGTGGCCGTACTCGGCCCAGACGCTTCGCAGGAGGCTGGATGCGATACTGGAAGCTTTATGGATCCCTACCAGCAGGACGTCCAGGCGTCCTCTGGACTTGGGCTCTTTCAGGCCAGGAGGAGCCACATACCTCCTCCAATCCACGGAGGACTCGGAGTTGGTGAGGAGGAGAGGAAGATGGGTTTCGCAAAAGGTCATGGAAGTTTATCTTCAAGAAGTTGCTGCATCAACTTTTTACCCGAGCCTGGCAGATGCGACAGAACGAAGAGTTATGGATGCAGCTGTTGCTTTTCCTTCGCTTCTGCAGCAGGCTATCCGGTGGACGCAGGGAAACATTCCCGCCGGATCGTGGTATTACCTTTGGAGCTTACAAAGCGTCGCCGCTCGCACGGGTGACCGGTGGGCACATGGGAGGAATGGGTCTGCATACGCACCGGGCTCTGTGGCCAAGACTTTGCGGCCCGGAGTCACTTTTCTTGCGGGAAGTCCTACCCCGCCTTTTCTGTGCAGAACGGTGCAAGCGGACAGATCTGAGAAGCAGAGAAAAGTGCCGGTGAGCTTCTTATTAGGGTTTAGGGTTTAGGGTTTCGGGTTTAGGGTTTAGAGGGCCAAGGGCTTTGGTTTTTTAAAGGTTTGGAGAGAGGCTGTCCTTTAAAAGGTTTGGCTTGAAGGTCCCCCAATAGCTTCACGCACAAGCAAACCCTGAACACTAGAATTCCCAAATAGCTTGACGCGCACACAAGCCCTGAGAACCAGAATCCCCCGCCAAACCTTAAAAAAGGCCTCCCGTCAAAGGCAATAAGAACCCTCCACCGGTTTGGCGTTTAGGAAGTTTAGGGTTTAGGGTTTCGGGTTTAGGGTTTAAGGGCCTTAGGCATCGATTTTTTCAGGGTTTTGGGGTGTAGATTCGGGCTTGAAGAGTTTTTTTTTTGGTTTCGGGTTGAGGTTTATGGAATAGACGTAGTGCTCTTGTTAGGAACACCGAAGCCCAAAACCCTAAACCCCGACACCCCTTATAACAGTAGACGTCCCAACAGTTGGAGTCCTTAAGTCCGGTTTCCAATTTTTTGGGCGTTTACAAAAACTCGTAAGCCCTAAACCCCTAAACCCTGAAAACCCCCAGACCCCAGAAAACCCTTAAACCCCTGAACCCTTAACCCTAAACCCTAAACCCGAAAACCCCCAAAACCCCGGGAGGATGACTACAATAAGGAATATACCAGAATTCCCATAGTTTAGGGTCCTTAAGGTAATGCAGATAGGCCCCTAAGTAGTTCCTTTTTATGGTTTATATGTAGAATCCTATAAGGTAATCCTAAAAAGGAACTAGGATTTATATCATCAACCGTACAGATCGGGGAGGATGACTACTACCTGAGCGTCCTGGACTGGTCTTCGGAGAACAATCTCGTGGTCGGACGCGTCCTCGGCCGCTGTGGGCCTCTTTAGGGTTTAGGGTTTATTGGGGTTTAGGGTTTAGGGTTTATTAGGGTTTAGGGTTTAGGGTTTAGGGTTTATTAGGGTTTAGAGTTTAGGGTTAAGGTTTTTTTTTGGCCCAGCGCCTTGAAACCCCAAACCCTGCATCCTGGGCTTAGGGTTGAACCTTTCGGTTAGGGCCCCTGCTTTAAAGGATCATGGGACTTAGTAACTGGGGTCGGAGATCAGGTAGTGATGCTAATCATTGCTTACAGCCCCAACTACGCCTATGACCTTACTTGCTAAGTTCCTTGTTTTTTGCAAGCAGAGTTTTAGTTAGGGCCCCTACCCTACACCTTAAACCCTGCACCCTGAACCCTGAACCCCAAACCCTAAACCTTTCTCAACAGAGGTTCGAGGTCTTTGTCTCTTTGCGACCGAGGTCTCGGAAACAGCGTGGACATTTGGAACGGCTGGACAGGCCACTTTAAAGGGACCCGGGAAAGCTGTTTAGGTCTAAGGGGTTTAGGGTTAGGGATTTATACACGATCTGTGGGTGTTTAGGTCTTAGGGGGTTACATGCGTCGGGTTTTTTGCAGGGGTTTCGAGAAGGGTCCTCGCAGAGCCAGTATCGAGCCCGTTGTAGAACACGTTCTTCGAAATTCTACAGTCCAAAGCAAACCCTTCGCGAACCTTTACGAAAACCCTTTTCGAAAACCCACCGAGAACTTTCCTTATCAAGATGCTTAGGCTTATGTCCTTAACCCTTAACCCCTAAACCCTAAAACCCTAAACCCCTAAACCCCTAAACCCTAAACCCTAAAACCCTAAACCCCTAAACCTTTTCGGGCCCCTAACTAACCCTAAACCCTAAAAGCCCTAAACACCTAAACCTTTTTGGGCCCCTAACTAAGCCCATCCGGTGGCAGGCCGTGCTTCTCGGCTTATCGATGGTGCCCCCGCGGCGGCAAGGATGCCCAGAACACGCCCCGATGTGTTTAGGGTTTAGGGCTTTGAGGGTTTAGGGTTGAGGGTTACGGGTTTAGGGTTTGAAGGGTTGTGGGTTTGGGGTTAAGGGTTAAGGGTTTAGGGTTAAGGGTTGAGGGTTTAGAGTTTAGGGGTTGAGGGCTTAGGGTTTAGTGGCTCTATAGGACTATAGGGTTTGATGGGGATTCCCACGGTTTCATCAGGGTTTTTGTCAGGGCTGGGTTCTACATGAGTGTTCGACAAGGGTTGAGGGCTCGTTTGGGGTTTGGGGTGGGGGGGTTGTTCTCGGGCTCAGGGCTCCGGGGCAGTGCAGTTTAGGGATCAGGGCTCTCTTTGGGCTCAGCGTATCTGGGTCCTTGTTGGCTACAAGTTTAGATTTCTGGTTTTGTAAAAGCCAGTAAGGATTAAGCATACCCTAAACCCTAAACCCCTAAACCCCTAAACCCCTAAACCCTAAACCCTAAACATGACCATCTTTGATGTAGCCCTAACAGGGAATCAGGTCTGGGGTTATTTCGGGGCCTTAATAATTAGAATAGGGTTTGGGGTATATTATACTCTAATTACAAAAATAAGGAACCCCCCAAAAACCTATTCTAGTTATTAAGGCCCCTACATTAGTTTAGGGTTTAGGGCCTGTGGTTTGGTCGCTCCGTCCCGGCAAATGTTCTCCTCTCAGATTCATCAGCTCTGCGCTGGTTCCCTCGAGTAGCTTGGAGCCCGAAGCCCGAAAGCCTAAACCCCAAACCGTAAGTCCTAAAGCCCTAAACTTCCTAGC